ACCTGCAAGCATCAGGGCTGGACTTAATGCCTTCTCAACATTGCAGATGCTCTGTAGGCTAGGTCACTGCAGAAACTTGTCCATCTGTCCTCTGTAAATAATGCAAATAATATGCTCTGCTCCACTGTCCTGCTGTGTAGATACTGCATAGTGTGTTAGCCATCTGTGCATCTCTGAGACTTGTGGACAGAGGGGATGTTTTAGAGAGCAGATTGAGGGAAGTATATAGTTGAATGCTCCAGTAATGGAGTGTTCTCTGGCATTACTATGTCTCTGCTAGAGGGACAACTCGGTGACATTCAGCCCCTGGCACTGAAGAGCTGGAGACTGTAGTTTTCCCAGAACTTCTGAACCAAAGGCTGAAACAAGAGGAGTGGTGATATTAATTGCTGGGAGTTGTGTGAGACTTAGAGAGTACTTAGAGGGGAGTCTGCCTCTCAGTGGTTGAAAAATTCAAGCTGTTTTTATCTTGTCCTTATTAAATGCCTTTTGATTTTATGCTCTAGGAAGGTAATGTATGATTTTTCCCCTTTTCTTCCTCTCCTGCACAGCGCATGAGATGACAGAGGTCTGGGAAGGGAATTCCTGCATGTTGATTTTCTACAGAAATCTATCTCTTTCACTTTTCTTCAAACGTTTACTTGTAGCCATTCCCTTGTTTGTGTTTGAGAAAGTTTTAGGCCATGACTCCCAAATTTACCTCATGTGATCTATCAGCTTTTTGCCAGATACATGTTGTTAGGGCATCAAGATTCACTTTTTCTTTAAATATCTGAGCAATATACTCCAGAATTCTTCCCATGGAAGATCTTAAAAGAAAGAACACAGTTACGAAGATAGAGTGGGGAAGGAGATAAAACCCAGAGCACAAAGATGAAGAGACTCTGAAAGTTTGTAGCCTAAACTACCTTGTGAAGTTGAAAGGATCACTGAACAAACTAAAGAGATCAAGCTAACAGGATCACTGAACAAACTAAACAAGCTTCTGGTGCGTCAGCATTTCTGAATGAGAAGTTGTCATTAGCCCTCAATGTAGCTGTCCCTGCTGAAGGTAACTTGGTAAATGACCTTTTGCTGAGCTGGTTCTTGTACAATTTCAGGTGTAGCCCCTAAAGATGTTTCTATGCTTTTATATGCATTAGAAAGCTAGTGAGAAAGCTAGTGTTCATTTCCTGGTCAAAATCTCCCCGGGGTATTTTTATTCTCCATTAACATTCCTTCTGGGGATTGAATTCGGGTCCTTTGCTTCCTGCCCTGTTCCTGTTCAGATGTTAATCAGCTGTTGCATTCTATTCCAGTTATGTGTTAGCAATGTTAGTGTTTCTTGGGCAAAGTTGACCTGTCCTGGCTTTTATAAAAGGGTTAGAAAAGCTAAGCTACTCTTACCTTAGCAAAGAGTAGATAATAAAATGCATAGTTAAGGGTATGGAGTGCAGTTGAATTAGGGGGACTGAGATCTTTGGATTGTGGAAGGAGGGGACAGGACTGTAAGAAAAGTGTGATTCCGATAACTTTTAAGAGAATTCTGGATGGTGCAATGGATATGACAGATACATGATATGTCCTGTGGTATTTCCATTCAACAAGAACTATGTACAAGTGGAGTCTAGGGATTTCATTTTCTTTGGAAATGTTAGGTGTTAAGTAGAGCTTGTTACATGGACTGTTGTTCAATAGCTAGCCTGATCCCTTTTTCCTGTTAGCTCTTGGAATTGTTCCCATGCAGGCAACAGAGGTTTCTGCCTAACAGTCAAGGTTAATTGGTATGGAAAAGCAGGAATGAGCAATAATCCTTCTGAAACTCAATTTTAATCCAAGAGTCACTATAATGCTATTACTCAGATCTGAATCGTGAGCATTAACATACAAGCAGAACTGTGATGTGAGTCTCTGCAGTAGGAGCTGTCATCCTTTTCTTTTAAAATGAGCTTCAAAGAAGCCAGCAGCCAAATGGATCTGAACATTCTTTTGCGATGCCTTCTCTGAATGAAAAGATGTCTCTTTTTAGATGTTAAAGTACCCTTTGATAACCTTACAGTCCTTTCCCATTGCACTCGGCACCAGCAATCTACAGGTGCTTTTTTTAACTTCACATAGCTTGCTTTTCTGTCCTGGAGAGACATCCCTTGGTGCAGTTATTGCATCATCCATCTCATGGATTAGTTGTCTTGGTCAGGCTTACTGCAGTAGCTTCTCAAAAAGTCTGGCTTGAGACTTGTGAAAGCTAAGGTTGCCTTTATCCATAAGCACAGGAAGATAGCTGGACAAGTCTCTCTTGCTTCGCTTCTCCTGATGCTGGTGAGGAGACATTGTTGTCTCCTAAAGCAGGCTGTGCCGGTATCCTGTATTGGATATGCATGCAGGGTATAGGTTGGCCCACTGAGTGTGAAAATTCTGGGTTAATTCTGGTGATCAGATATGTGGCACAGGACATTTGGGTTTTTTTACTTATGGGTATTGCACTTGCAGGTTTTTGGAGTACACTGACTGTGATAGCCACTACAGAATCTTTCTGTAGTGTTGCATTAGAAACAAATGCAACTGTGTTATGAAATGTATTTTCTCAATCATACAAGTTTACCCATCTGAATAAAAAGCAAAGTTAAAGAAATGCTGCTTGTAAGAGGAAAAGGCTGGAAAGATGATACAGTACCTGAAATAAGGAACATTCTCTGGACCATAATCATCACATTTCTGTTGAGGAAGTGAGGCTGCTGCTTATAAGGTCAGAAAAGGCAACAGAAGAGAAGGTGATGCTGAGGAAAACCCTGCAAGTCCTCTGCCTCTTTGCAGAGAATGTTCACAGCTGCTGCAACAGCAACCAGGCAGAAGCTGTGTGCATCCTAAAACCAAAGCTAAGTATTAGCTACCTCAGGCTTCAAGGGATTTGCCAAATATCAGGAAGACAGTAGGTGCCTGAAAATGTTGCCTTTTTTTTTCTTGTTCTTTCCCTTTTTGTCCAAAGCATTCCTTTTTGGACCTTTTTTCCTCTGCTGTGAAACTCTTTCTTGTTACTGGAGACAAAATGATGCTCATGGGTAGTGTTGTGGTTTTGTATGCATGCCAAGTGGCTGCTTATTCTGTACAGGGCCCACAGAACTGTCTCAAGCAATTCTGTGCTAGATGACATCTCTTTCTGGTGTGTGGTAAAGGTTTTTCCATTCTCAGATCACACAGAGAACATAGTACTCTGCAAGTGGATTTTACACTGAGGGATGCTTTCTGGTAGAAACAACTGGAGTCAAGCTTTTATGCTGCCTCTGCAGCTGCACTCTGCCGCTGTGTTGTGGTTTAATCCCAGCTGGCAACTAAGTACCATACAGCTGCTTGGTCACTCTCCCCCCGCTCCCAGTGGGATGGGGAGGAGAACTGGAAAAAAGTAAAACTTGTAGGTTGAGATTAGAACAGTTTAATAATTGAAAAAAAGGAAAATATAGTATTAATTGTAATGGAGAGAGGGAGGAAGGACTAAAACCCAAGAAGAACAAGTGATACACAATGCAATTGCTCACCACCCGCTGACCAATGCCCACCCAGCCTGTCCCTGAGCAGCGATCAGCCCCTCCCAGCCAACTCCTCCCAGTTTATGTTCTGAGCATGACGCCATATGGTATGGAATATTCCTTTGGCTAGTTCAGGTCAGCTGTCCTGACAGCTTTTTGTGTTCCTCCTCACTGGCAGAGTGTGAGAGACTGAAAAGTCCTTGAGTTAGTGTAAGCACTGCTTAGTAGCAACTAAAACATCAGTATGTTATCAACATTATTCTCATCCCAAATCTGAAATGCAGCACTGTACCAGCTATCAGGAAGAAAATTAACTTTATCCCAGCTGAAACGAGGACACACTGTCACTACACTCCATCATTGTGAAGAGGAAAGAGGCTGTGCGTGTTTTTGTGAGGGGGTGGAGGAATCCTTAGCTCTTTGCATTAACAAAGCAAAATGTTAAGTTTACACTGCAATTTTCTGACCCTTAGTGTGTTCATGTGTGTCTGCCTGGAAGACGTGACTAATGTTCATGCTGGTCATTGTAAGCCTTGTAGCCCTCAATGAGCCATTCCAGTGAAGCTGTAACTGCCAGTGAGCTTAGAAATCAGACTGGAACTACAGTAGGGAAGTAGTGGGTAAGCTAGAAGAGTAGAATTGGAGCTACTGCAGGCAATAGACTGCTAGGAAGAGGACTGTAAATGCTAAGGAGCATTACTGATGAGAGGTGGAAAAGACAGATAAAAGGAACCAGGAGGTTGAATTTCATCTTGTATTACAGTGCTAATTAGAATAGCTGAAGAGCTGCCTCCTGCTGTAGCTCCAGGCTAAAACTGAGCTTCTGCAGGGTAGTCATAATGTGGACTTGACAGCAAGCTCCTTCAGAGAGAGGCTTGTGGATAGTTTGATGAGCAGAATTGGTGCCTTCTTCTATTTATGGATATTACCTATATCCATTTCTGCTTTGGAGCACAAGGTCCATCTGTTCTGCACAGAATATCTGCTCCACTCTGAACAGAGGTGTGGTGAATTGAACCACTCCAGGATTCTCTCTCTGTGGTAGCAGGGGATGCTCAGGTATTGTAGGCAAGGAGGTCTTTACTGTGCTGTTCAGTGCAGGGATATCTGCAGAACAAAATTAGATTGGTGTGGCAGAGTGATTGGAGCAGAATGACAGGTGTGATTCTTGGTGTTGGATGGGAATGCAGGTGGGAAAGCAGGGACCCCTGGAGCCATCTAGAAAAAACATCTGCCTTTCCAAGGTCAGTTACTGGTCTGCACAGGTATCCTGCTCAGTGGAGAGATGGCTAGAAGACTTTTCCTTTCTGGGATACAGTGAAGATATGGGGCTTTTACTGTGGAGGGACCTGGCATTAAATAGTAGCCTGATGGTGCAGCAGTTTGCTGTTGACTCGTGCCCTGGCACCTGGCTGTGGGTTGCTCTGCGCATGTCTGGTTGTTTTCATGTTTTGTGCTATAGGTGACTGACACCAAGTTTCCTTTCTCATGTTTCAGGAGCTGTTGGCCAGATGCTGCTGGATGCTAACAGGGGAAAGCTGACTTGGAGGCAAGCGACCAGAAATGTTTGGACACGTCGTCACTTCGCATCTGTAAGTCCTTGTTTGAGGGAAAGTTGCCTGGAGGCACTGTGAGTTTTTAAGTCTTTGGAAATTCTCAGATCATGAGGGTAGGTTTCAAATCCAGTTATCTTTTCCACATAAGTGGGGATGAGATAGCAGGTAGCATAGTTGCTGCCTCTGGGGTAGGAACCAGGACAGTCCTGTTTTAGCCTGAGGAACTGTGTGCTGAGAGACAGGGAGGCCTTTGGTGTGTTTGTTCTGAGCACAGCTGCAATGGAAACATGGGTGCAGCTGTTCCTGGAAGCCTCTGTTTGTCTGCCAGCCCATGTGGCTGGTGGTTATGCCTCAGTGCTGCTGGGAGTTGGTGGAAAAGCAGATTGAAACTATGCTGGCCCGGTCCTTCCTGGAGGTTCACGTTCTCCCTCTCCCTTTTTCCCCCCATACTTTACAGTTTGCCCCACAGAGCAGTTATGCTGTTGTGAAGCTGTTTTCCCCTGTGCTAGTTGAGACCTAACTCTAGCATTATAGTAAGGAAAGGGGCCAGATAGCTTGTTGGGACAGGGCCAGCACTTGGGCACCTCTTCAGTTTGTTTTGGCAAAGCTTGAGTTTGCGTGGTCCTGGTTGCCTGCCTGTTCCATTCACCTTCGATCTGACTTTCCCTGTGTGTGTACAACTGCTCTACACCCTGCGCTCCTGTCCCGCCTCCCAGGGCTTGGTCCCATCGACATGAGAAAAGTAGCACAGCAGAAGTGCATCACGGAAAGGAGGACTTCACTGCAATCTCTTTCATGTCAGTGGCAGAGTGGTGGCCACAGAGCTACATTCTTGCAGCTGGCTCCTAGATTAACCCAGTTCTCTTCTTGTATTGGTGGGTACCTGTCGTGGTTTGATTCCAGCTGGCAACTAAGCACCTCACAACTGTTCACTCACTGCTCATCCCTCAGTGGAATGTGGAGAGAACGGGGGAAAAAGTAAAACTTGTGGGTTGAGATACAGACAGTTTAATAGGACAGAAAAGAAAGGGATAATAATGAAAGAATTAGAGTATTCAAAACAAGGGATGCACAATGCAATTGCTCACCACCTGCTGACCAATGCCCAACCAGTTCCCAAGCAGTGGCCCTTGCCAGCTTTTCCTCTTGTTTATATACTGAGCATATGCTCAGTATGCTGACACCATATGCTATGGAATATCCCTTTGGACAGTGGGGGTCAGCTGTCCTGGCTGTGTCCCCTCCCACCTTCTTGTGCCTTGCAGCCTACTTGCTGGTAGGGTGGTGTGAGAAGCTGAGAAATCCTTTCCTTACTGTAAACACTGCTTAGCAACATCTAAAACATCAGTGTGTTATCAACATTGTTCTCATCCCAAATCCAAAGCAAAGCACTGTTCTAGCTACTAGGAAGAAAAATAACTCTATCCCCCACAAAACCAGTACAGTACCCAAAACCAGTACATATACCCAAAGCAGGGGCTTTGAACAGAGAAGAAGGTTGTTTCTGAACTTGTATTGTGTCCCTGGTGGCCTGGATAAGATTTTACAGAAGCCTATTAGCAGCAAGGTAGAGATTGATATGCTTGATGGAAGTCAGAGGGTAGCTTGCCTTCCTCTAGTGAAGGTGTGGGTTATCGCAGCTGTAGGCATGAGGATGTAATGTTTTGGCTTAAACAAGAGTGTAATAATTGCCAGCTCATTTGTGAGTGGGAAGCACTGACTTAAAAGGATGAGTGAGGTAATTGTTAGCGTTACCAAACTTCTGTACTGAAGGCTTCACAGTTAGCATCCCTCTGCAGTGGTGGGGAAGATTAGCTGGGAGGGGGTCCCATTCTATAGGAGATTTGGTTAGTCCTTCCTGGAACCAAGTTTCCTTGAAGCTATTGCTTCATGAATTTTGAGTCTGTGTGGTCCCAGTTGCCTGAGTGCCTTGAACATATCCTTGCCAGGTGCCTTTCCAGCTCTTGCTGGGCTATGTGGCCAACTATTCTAAGTTCATTTTCTTTACTTTCAGAAGATCTGATGTGGGTTTGGGCAGGTACCTGGAGTGAGGTGGCCATCTAGTTGTCCTTGGTTATAAATATTCCCTATTCCTTATATATTTCAAAGTTTTTTTTGTGGTGGATGCTAAGCTATTTGTTTCTCTTCTTCAGGGCATCTGAGTGAGTATCCCTGCTTCATGCGGCTTCAAATTTGAGCCCAGGCTGGTAAGTGCTCACGTCCTTAAGAACTAGAGAAATTATTGTGATTTCAGCTTGGGATATTTCCATGCACATCTGCTGTCCCTAGCCTGTAAGGAATTGACAGAAGGGTTCCCTAGTTCACCTCTTTGATGGTGGGATGCTTACAAACCTGCTTCTAGTCAGGTTTTCAGCATTTCTCTTAGAAAGAAATGTCTTCCCAGCAAATCAGACTATCTGTTTTGCTTGGGGATGCAGTGAAATGTGATTCAATATGCTGGATGTGATTTTTCTTAAGTATTAGAGACTTAATACTAAACTAATACTAAACCACGACAGGTACCCATCAGTACAAGAAGAAAATTGGGTTACTCTGGGAGCCAGCTGCAAGAGTGTAGCTCTGTGGCCACCACTCTGCCACTGACATGAAAGAGACTGCAGTAAAGCCCTCCTTTCTGTGATGCACTTCTGCTGTTCTACTTTTCCCTTTCAATGGCACCAAAACTGAGCCTGTTCAGGAGAAGGGACCTCGAGGGAATAACTGCAGCAAGGGGAAGTTTTCCAGCATTTTTATGGGGGAGATTTACAGGTTAGTCCTAGGAAGTTGTGTTTGTGGAAAGGTGTGAGAAACTTTTGTTAGCTTGTATTTATGGCAGGGTGAAGGACACTGTGAAGTGGCTTGGAGCCAATCTGTGCTTGGTGCAGCCACCTCACACTTGCCAGTCCTCTCAGGGGACTCAGTCTAAGTGTCAACAAGATGCAGCTAGGTGAGAGTGGTTAAGAATTGGAGAGAATTCTTGGGGCTCCATTTAGACTCTTAACATGTAAAACCCCACTGTCTAAAACACAAGTGAAGTCTGATAGGTCACTGGCCCAGTGGTATCCACTGACTCCAGGTATGTGACTGGGAGTTGCATGGCCCTGCTTATAGAAGAGGGGAGAGAGTGTGATATGAGTTGATGCGAGTCCTGCACTTTGAAGTGCTGCAGGTCAGGTGCTGAGGATTGCAGAGATGCTAGGCTTTATCAGTGTTAGGATCCTGCAGGGGAAAGGGGAATGAGAATTGGGCATTTACTCCAAATATCGGGCAACTATGAATGATGGCATATGTTGTCATCAAGGAAAGGCTCTACAGCATCTACTTGACATCTCCGAGACTTCTTGTGTACAATAGGGTAGTTGAAATTCTGACTGCTTGTAGGGAAGTCTTCCTGCCCACCACTGCAGACCCAAAAAAGTGGAAAGAAAGGTGTTTCTTCCATGTGTTCAAGATAGCTGCTTTTCATCTACCCTATTTTTTGCTCTTGTACTGCTCCTGTGGTGGAAGAATCCTGCCCAGCACGGCTGGGGTAAAGGGATTAATCTTCCCACTAGTGGTACTACTGCATGTCTATATACTACACACTTATGCACTCTAAGGGTGGTGAGGCACTGGAACAGGTTGCCTAGAAAGGTTGTGGACTCCCCATCCCTGGAGGTATTCAAGGCCAGGCTGATGTGCCTCTGAGTAACTTGGTCTAGTGGCAGGTTCCCTGCCCATGGCAAGGGGTTGGAAGAAGATGATTTTTGTGGTCCCTTCCAACCCAGGCCATTCTATGGTTCTGTGTTGCAAAATCTGGCCTTAGGAACTAACATCAGTGACATTGTTCCCTAATTTGATGCCACCTCTGACTTGGGGGTTGTCTTTGTCTTTTCTGACAGAGTGAGCAGTTCTGTGGTACCTCTTTCTGACAAGTCTCCTATGGTCTGCTGCACTGGGACTCCAGTGTAAACCAAAAAGTTCTGGGTTTGGGCTCTTTAATGGCTGAAGTCTCCTCCCACATAGTCCTTGCTGACAGTGACAGGACATGATCAATAACTCCTGCTCCAGCTGTCACTGCTGCCTGTGAGGCTTGCAGTTTCCATATTGAAAAAGGCCTTTCCTAAAGAGCCTAATCAATATGCTGCTGTGAGATCTGTTCTCATTTGCTATATATAATCCGGACACACACAAACTACGTGAGTGAGCGTGTGTAGAGGGGGGGAGAGGATGTGCCAGCCCTCTGCTCTCACTGGCTGGGAGAAGGACACAGCTACCTCTTACTTTGCTCCCTCTCCTGCAGCAGCTGCTCAAGGCTTGTGGCTACATCCTTTCCCTGCTCTATTAGCACTCTGCATGGGGACGTGCTCTGGGACTCCAGGGGAGCTGAATTCCTGCTGGGTCACTCATAGGGCTCGATGGAGCACCTGTGACTCTCTCTTCTGTGCACTTTCTGCTGTTGGTAGGTAACCCGCTTTCAGAGCCACACAGGTGGGAGGATGTCGAGCACAGCTCCGTCAAAGAAGCCTTACCGCAAGGCGCCCCCGCAGCATCGCGAAATCCGCCATGAGGTACCCATCATTCGTGACGACCAGGACGGAGTGATCTTGGCTGAGCAGAGTCAGGTAACAACTTGCCGGGTGACAAAGGGCTTAACACCACTGCACCAGCAAACAGGGTTTAGTTACACCGAGGCAGGCCAGCTCGAGCAGGCAGAGGGGTTTGAGGTTTGCAACCTGAACTTCTCCTCATCGTGGTCCCTGGAGTCCAGCAGTGAGAAGGAAGTGGCAGGGTGCAGAGCAGAGTTGAACATCAAGAGCCAGACTGTCTCGCCAGCACTTCCACGTAGTGGGAAGATGGGGCAGCGAAGCGGGAAGCGGTGCCCAAACCGCAGTCGTGGGCACCGCAGCAAATTTGTGAGCCGTAGCATGGAGACAGTGCTGGTGTCTGGAGATGAAAGACACCATCCCACTTGCTCTTTCAAGAGCAGAAGCCTGGAACGCTCACTTATATTTAAAGAGCCTCCTGAAGTCCTGACTCCGAGGAAGTTTCGTGTCTCATCTACACACCTGCCTCTCAAAGGGATCCTGAAGCAGACCAACATGACAGGCTCATGTCCTGAGAGCTTATGCAAGTCCTGCTCAGTAGAGACACTTTGCCGTGGCCACGGCTCACGCAAGTACAGTGATCCTCAGCTCTGCCTCAGCCCTAGGGAGAAGCGCTCCCTGGAGCACAGCAGCAGCAGTGCCGCTGACTCTGTCAAGCGCAGGGAGAAGATCACAGAGGAAAAACTGCAGTTCTCCAAATTCCTGGATGAGATTACCAAGCGGGTGCTGAGTCCCAACCGCTTGCGCTCACTGGGAGAGACTAGGGGAGCAGCACAAGACCAGAATTCTCCCCTTTTCCCCAGAAGCTCCGTGCCAGAAGGCCAAGGGGAAGGTCACCTGCAAGGGGTCAAAACCAAGCATGCAACTGAAAGATCCCCCTGCCCAAGCAGAAGAAAAACAGAAAAGAAATGTGAGGGACTGGGAATGGCTTCGGGCCTGAGAAAGTGTGCTGAGGAAGCTGGGAGAGTTTCCAGACTAAGAAAGAAACCTGTCCTTGGGAGGAAGGACAGTAAGGGAAAACTTTCCTTGGAGAGAAGGGTAGTAGATCTGTGTCAGTATGAGCTGCAGCAGCTGGCAGACCTGGGGCTGGCAGGGACATCCTCTGGGCAGCAGCATTCACTGTCTTCATGGAAAATCAGTGCAGAGGGCAGAAGGGATGAAAGCAGTCCCTGTTCACGGCTATTACAGCCACACCATCAGTGTGCTAAGCTTGGGCAGAAGCGTGCAGTGGAGCCGAACTACCCAGAGAAAGGATCCCGCTCCACTCCAACACACTGGAGTCGGGAGGAGGGGCCTACCCCATCTAGATCCTCCCCTTCATTCAACCTGGCACTAAACAAGGTAGGTGCCAGGGTCACCGTTTTGCAGACAGGGGTCTCACAGAGGCCAAAGCCCCCACCTGGATTTCATCTAGTCTGTAATGCCAGGGGGGAGAGTGAGAGCAGGCCCCCAGACCTCATGTTGTGGGTGCTTAATCACCAGAAGCTGCTCTCCAGTGGGGGTGCCACTCATGGCTCTGCTACTGGTTGGGTATATCTTTCTGGGTGTAACCAGCTTCCCTTTAGCCCCAGGAGTTAAGGAAAGTAGAAACTGGTGCTGTTCTCACCACTGCAGACTTCCCAGGTGTTTGCTGGTTGAAGGCCCTTTAGGCTCTGGGGCAATAGGTGTGTACAGGAGGCAGGCAGCTCTGTTGTCAGGAGGGGCTGGATGCTTCTGGTGCTTTGTGTGTGCCCTATGCCTGGTATTTTGGGGTACTGGATGTTGGCTATTCCAGGTCATGGATTAGAGAGTGCAAAGGAAGAGAAAATAGCTGAGCCATGTGCTCTTGTCAGTGCTCTGTGTCTCCTTTTTCTGCAGGGTCCTGCTCCAGCCATCTCTGGGGATCTTGCCCATAATGTTAATTTCTTTTACAGGCTTTTTTGACCTTTGGTGTTTCTTCTGCTGTCCTAGAATAGTTACGGTGGCTGGTTTCAGGTCTGCAGAAAGAAACCTTTTTCACAGCACAATCTGGGTGGTGTAAATGCTAGCCACATTTTTCAGCTCCCAAATGATTCTCTCTCATGCTTTTTGTGGGTCTTCAAGGGCCCCACAAGTGATTGCTGTGGTGAAAATTTAATCCTCTGTATGCTGGCCTGTGAGATTCCTGCTACCCACTAACTGTGGATGTGGAGGAAGCTGAAACACCAGCTAAGGTGATGATTTTACAAGAGATGCTGAGATTACACCCTGGGAGGGTAAACTTACCTAACTTGTATGGTGGTTTCTAGTCCGGCTCTTCTGCTCTGAACCAGAACACACAGTCTGTTTTGGTATCACACGTCTGAGCGGTGTGTGTACAGATCCTTGTAGCCTAGTATGACCTGTCAGAGCAGGTGAGGAGGAGTCACAGATAGGGTCTAGCAACCAAGACTGCCCTTTAGGATAGCATGAGAGACCAATTCCTCATCTGAAATAATCTCACAGCTGTTTTCTTCCCTGTGCAGGAACCCTTGACGGATGCAGAAAGGATGAAGTAAGTGTCCCTCTCCCTCTTTATGCCTGTCATACTGCAACTGTGTGGGTGCTGATTCCTCATATCCTGCCTGTGCCACCTGCACAGCGAAGCTGACTGGATCTGTGGGCTCCTTTCAGATCTTCAGTCGTCTTAGGGCCCTGTGGGCAGAACTTTGGTCTGTGCCTTGCCAAGCTCTACCTTGCATGTCTGTCTCCCTGGAGGAGGAGGAGGGAACATAGACCCTCAGTGCAGGTGCAGGCAGAGGAGTTGGTGGGTGTGAAAGAAAGGTAGATGAAATCTTTAATACAGGTGGAGATAGGAGTACCTTTTTTAATCTTTGTTATTGTCCCGGTGTAAGCCACCAGAAGCAGTATGCAGAAGCCTGCTGCTGACTGAGGGTGAGAACTGAGCCCTTTGCTGGTGGTGCTGTGGGACATAGACAGCTGCTAGCACTGAGCTCCAGGCCATGGGGAGGAGAAAGCTTGCACTGCCAGAGAGAAGCTGTGCTTCTGGGTTTCTCCAAGCAGCTGAGCACAAAGGAATGAAAAACAACAGGAAATACTTCTGACCAGCAGACATGTCCTGGCTGGAGAAGAATAGAGCAGTTTGTGTTGCAGTGGGGTTGACCAGCAGCCGTGGTCACATCTGTAAATGCACCCTACCACCTCTGCTTCTGGGTTTAAGGCTGTATGGAGTCCTCTTTCCACTATGTATTAAAGGTGTGAGAGATTTTGGTTCAGGAGTGGAGAAGATGATTTTGCTCTTCTTGCTTTTAACTCTTCTGACCTGGACTGGGATAAATTATTGAGTGGTTTTCAGTCATCAGTGAGGGACACGAGCTGCACAGCTCATCTGTCTAGTGGGCTTTATCCAAGCACTGTAACCTGAGAGGGAGCTGGGAGCCATGGCTGGCCAGCTGGCATGTGCTTCTTTGCCCCTACTCCAAGAGAGTTTGAGTGTCTCTTGACAGAGATGCACCTCTTGCTTAATGTGCTGGAGTCTCCTGACAGTTCAGTTCCTGACCTCTCAAGGGCCCCTGTGCAGGGCATTGGGCCCTAGTGCAGAGCAGTGGGGTGGGGTTGCTGGTGTGGAGTACCCCTTGTGCAACTCAGTGATACCTTGTTCCTATTCCTGCCCCAGGCTACTGCAGCACGAGAATGAGGAGCTTCGTCGACGGCTGACATATGTGACGAACAAAATGGAGGCGATGGAGAGGGAACTGGAGTCAGGTCAGGACTACCTGGAGATGGAACTGGGCCAGAACCGTGAGGAACTGGAGAAATTCAAGGACAAATTCCGTAGGTATGAAAAGGAGAACAAGAAAGGGGCAGAGATAGAAATAGAGATCCTTCCACTGAGGACTCCCTCAGCTAGTGTGAGCTGGCTGTGCCCTGTGGTGTAAATCAAAAGCATGCTGCATCCTCCAAGATGTGCACCTCCAGACTGTAAGGGGGAAGCTAAAGGCTCGACACCCATTATTTTCTCCAGGATACAGTGTAGGAATGCTGCCAGCATGAGAGGCTGACAACAGGGAATTCTTCATCTATTGCATGTAAGGCAAGATCCAGCTCAGATGGTTAACCCACATGTGCAAAAGAAGCCACTGATGGCTGCAAGAAAATACATCACTGCTTTACCTGAAAAGTACCTCAGTTAAGAATCAGTACCAATCACTGGTCATGTGCTTAGATATGACATAGTTCAGAGGAGTCCTCCAAAGTAATTTACATCCTCTCCTGCAAGATCCTTTCACCCAGCCAGCTTCATCTGCCTCCAGTAACTTGGGGTCTGAAAGCCCTTGTGTGCTAGAGGTAAGGCATAGCTAGTATGCCTGGTTGTCTTAGCAGCAACCTTTATGGAGTTTTGGAGCTGATGGTTTGTTTGGCAGCTATGAAGGTGACTTGACCAGGTGCCTGTGATCCATTCCCATGCTTACAGTCTTGTTTCTGTAGGTTGCAGAACAGCTACACTGCTTCCCAGAGAACCAATCAAGATCTAGAGGAGAAGCTGCATGCCCTGGTAAGTGCCCTATTAAGTCACTATGGCAATCAGGTGGAAGAGACCTGTTTGTTGGAAGCAGATGGGGGAAAGGGGTCCTGTCTTTACCCAGCAGATGTGGCAATGGGTGAGGGGTGAGATTCGGGCTACGACCATCTACTCCCCATTCTAGCTGGTGTCATGAACTGTTTTCTTGATTTACTGAGCCGTACTTGGTTGCGCACGTGAGCTTTGGTTCCTCACAACATAACTGCATGGTATTCCGTCATGTTGCTTCAGTCCGTCTCAAAATGCCAGGGATGTGTCAGCCAGTCTTGGGGTGGTCATCTTGGGAGGACGGGGACAGTCAGAGCAGAGCCAATGTGCGTGTATGTCTGTTGTGTGCATTCATAACACTCATGGCTGTTTCTTTTCTCTCCCTCCCCCTCTCTCTCTCTCTTTCTCCTCCCCACGCTGCCGCTGGCACACGCTGGGCGCACTCGCCTCTCAGGCCTCTCTCAGCCAAAGCTGGATTTTTGCAGTTGCGTCTTTTCGTTTGTGTGTTTTTTCTTTTTCCTCTTTACATGTCTCAGCCTGTTGGTTTCATTGTCAGTCCCACATATAACATCCCAGATGAAGGGGCCCCAGCCCTCGTCCAGCCAAGGGCTCACCTGGTATCCAGCAGCTGCCCACAGATGCAGCAGGTCCTAGCTTGCAGTGCTCCATCTTAAGAGTGTTTGACTCTGAGCCAGCTGGAGCATGGCGTGTTGGGAAGTGGTGCCCATAAGCTGCGGCACTGCACAAGATGTGGATGGCTGTGAGCCTCGTTTGCTCCCTTTCCTTCCCCTTCTGGGCTTTGAGCAGGCAAGTCAAATAGCTGAGATGGTGATTGCCTCTGTGTAGCCCAGGGTGAGATTTCTTTGGTTCTAGCACATGAATTTCTAGGGTTAATATTCATTACTCAATTATTTATTGTGCTAGTACCTGAAGAGACTGCACATTCAGGAAGTATTTCCTCTCGTACCGCCTTGCGTGTCATTGTGCTGTACCCCTGACACATAGCTGGGCCCTGGTGGCCACAGCCTCACAGCACCCTTGGCCAGTTTGGAAGAACTACTTGAGACAGCGATGGCCTGGAGCTGTTGCCCCTCTTTGCTGTTACATCTGGGTCTCTATCCGCTCTGTACCTGAACTGTTAGGAAGTCTAAAGAGGCAAGATTGTCTGCTTTAGGGATGGCATTAGTTGAACTCCAGATGATGCTACACCGGTCCTTTTAGTTGCTCTTTACTAGAGCAAGGCTTAAACTCTTTCAAGATGGTGCCTTCCTCGTGCAAAAAAAGCCTTTTTGTCCATTCAGCATTGACTGCTGGATCTTTTTGGGCAGTATTCTTGTTCTGCTGCCTCAAGGAAGATGGCTGGGTATCGCAAGCTCAGAAGTCTTTGCTACCAGTGGCAGGTTGGGATTGATTGCTCAAAACCACTAGCTTTCTACCAGGCACCATGGGAACCAGGACAGAGGGGAAACATGCTAGTGCTGCAAGAAGAGATACTGCATTAAGGAGGTTCAAACTCAACCTTGTTGTCTCTGTAGCTAGCAGAATGGCTGGTTCCGTTTGGCCTTTGGAATCCCCTCCCTTTCAAGAGGGTTGTCTCCCTTATCTGTCTGTCTGGAAGTTTTTTGTGTCCCAGCTGCACGTCATTGTGCTATGCTTGGACTGAGGTGGGTGGTGAAGCCAGGTTCTTCTGTGCTAGGGAGTTTTACACCTGGTGTTCTTGCATCCCAGATTAAAAAGGCAGAAATGGACCGCAAGACGCTGGACTGGGAGATTGTAGAGCTCACTAATAAATTGCTTGATGCCAAAACCACCATCAATAAGCTGGAGGAACTCAATGTAAGTGTCAGTCTGCAAATGGCTGTGGAAGTGTGTGAGGCGGGGGCTTTTCCTTTGTTCAAAGTCATCAGTGGAAAGGAGCACATGAATTACTCCAGTGTGTATGAATGCATGGGAGCTGTACACAATAGTAGGGAGACAAACAGAAAAGGGTCTGAGGGGTTGAGCAGGAAAGAACTCATCTTCAAGTTTGATGTATTTGCTCTTTTGAGCTTAGGGTTTGACCTGAGTCCAGCTTGAACCAATGGAGGTGTCATTTACTCTAGAGCTGAGAGGGAGATGGTGCCTTTTCTACACCATTAATAATAAAGAAGTTCCTGGATCCAGTGCTTGATTCTTTTAACTCCTCTCAACTCCCTCCAGTCTGTCTGCATCATCAGGCATGGCTGAGAGCTGTGGGATGGGATAGCAAATCTGGTGGGACTTTTGGAGATTATTAAAATCCCCAGAGGGAGAGGGGGTTGATAGTTGATACTCTGACAGAGTATATGGTGGGAGAAAGGACTGGAGCTGAAAAGGACACCTTGGCTGAGTTGTAAAAAAATACACAGGGGTGTGGGGAGGGGGAAATGACAGGTGCCCTCAGGAGCGATTCATCAAATGTCTCCTCTGGCTTCTGTTCAAGCAGCATCTGGTCAGGTGGGACCTTTTTGGATAAGAGATCAGGCCAGTCTAACACTGTTGCACACCTGTGCCCTCTCTTGCAGGAACGCTATCGACAGGACTGTAACCTTGCAGTACAGCTGCTCAAGTGTAACAAGTCTCACTTCAGGAACCACAAGTTTGCCGATGTGAGTAGCAATCCTGCTGAGGTGGGGAAGAAGGGCTGCATCTTACTTTCTCCAGCTTTCTCCACAGGGCTGCTGGCTTCTCATCCTTCAGCCTCAGAGGTGGGGGGAGGCTTCTGTTCCCACTCCCACTGAGAAGGCAGCACAGACCTTCTGCCAGCTCCTCTTTCATGACAGCTCCATTTCACAGTTCAGCCAAGAGCTGTTATAAAAAGCACAATAACCTTGAATTTGATATCCTGCTGGGTGTGTGCTGGGAGCTGGCAGGAGGACAGATCTCTCTCTTACCCTACTCCATCCTTTTCCCTTCCTCACCTGGCCACATGAAAGGGCCTCATAAGGAGTCAAGCAGCAGTAGACTGGCCTGGCTTCACTTATTACCCTGAGGAGAAATGTGTGAGGCAGCATTCAGGGTGTCTTCTAGGCCTTCTGAATAGAAGTTCATGCCAACTTATACTCCCCCTTGTGGGGGGAATGGTATCGGGGAGGGGAGTTCAGCTCATCCTGCCCTCAGGATGAGCAAAGATGGGGTTTAGATCTTCCACATTAGTAGCATCACTTCTTTGGTTGAAAGTATCATTCAAGCCCTTACCCCCGCTCTCTCCTTGCCATACCTCTAGTCTTCGTCCCTTCTTGTGTTCCTCTCAGCAAAACCACATACTTGTCTTTTTTAACTTAGCAGGTGACCAATAAGTCATCCTCCCCCATTGTGTCTCAAATTAGCACTCTTGAGGTCAGTGTATCAGTTACTGCTGGGGTAACCTTGACCTCTTTCCCAGCTGTCTCTCCTCTCTGGAGCTTTGAATTCTGCACCCCAGAGTGCTGTGTCCCATGTGACTGCCACTGGAGGGGGTTTGGTGCTGAACAGCTGTGCAGACAGCCTGCCTCACAGCCAGCTGTTGTCATGCAGTGTGCCCTGCGTCCTGGGCTTTGGATGCAGTTTACTTCTGGCTGTGATGGGACAGACCTTGCTATGCCACTGAGTGGCTTGGGGACCTCTGCTCTCCAGTTGATGCTGTGCATGCACATGGTGACCAAGGTGAGGGCAGCTTGGCAGGGTGATGGGGAAAGCAGTAGTGCCCATTTTCAGGACAAGGGGTGGTGCTTACACCCTGGCAAGACCCCAGTCTTGCAACTTCGGTAATAACCCCACATTTGCCTCTCTGAAATGGAGAGAGCTAGGAAGTGGGGTGACGTGGTAGAGTTGGTTGGAACAAGGGAAGGCATCGATCCTGGTCTGCGGGCAGGCTGCCAAGGCAGCATGGCTGCAATTACGCATTCAGGGAGCACTGCGGATCCCAGCACTGGGGGCTGTAGAGTCACTGCAGTGCAACCACCGGCTGATTTTCCACAGATCAATAGACTCCTTCCTACCATGCACTGGCTGTGACTTGTCTCTACTCACAGGCGTGTGGGACTGAGCCCGTGTGCCATCTTTTCTTGTTCTATTTTCCAAACGGGGTCTGTGAACCATGGCCTGGAAGCATGACTGGTGTGACAGCTAGAGAGCCTTGGCAGTCCCTCATGGGGCAGGTTTGCTTTGAAAAGAGATAGCTTTCTCAAGGCAAGGTAGGTAAATGTTAGGGTCAAGATAAGGAGTACAAAGTACACATGAAGGTTGGTTGGAAAAGGCAGATTATTTGGAACTAAATGGCTTGCATGGCAGGCCCCTTCTAATGTCTTTTTCCTTTTCCCTAGCTTCCCTATGAGCTGCAGGACATGGTCAATAAGCATTTGCACAGCACTCAGGAGTCTGCAGGCACTGGTCAAGAGGCAGCCCACACCTTAGCACCATCTGATGTTGTGCCCACCTCAGTCATCGCCAGAGTCTTGGAGAAACCAGAATCTCTGGTTCTGAATTCAGCCAAGTCTAGCAGTGGCAGCTGTCCCATGGCGGAGGATGTCTTTGTGCATGTGGACATGAGCGGAGCCCCTCCTGATGCCTCCAACAGCTCAGGGCAGATAGGAAAGGAGGGAGGAGAGGCGGGGAAACAGCAGAATGGTGGCTGCAAGCCACAGAGTAGCATGGAAAGTGTGCCTGAGGATGTGCCTGCCTTTGAGAAGTTAAGCCCATACCCTACTCCCTCACCTCCCCATCCTATGTACCCAGGGCGCAAAGTGATTGAGTTCTCTGAGGACAAGGTAAGGATCCCAAAGAACAGTCCCCTGCCCAACTGCACATATGCTACGCGCCAGGCCATCTCCCTCAGCCTGGTACAGAGTGAAGACGAGAGCTGCGACAGGCACCGGACACTCCCCAGCAGCCCTGCTTCAGAGGGGCGCCGTTCAGCATCCAGCTGTTCCTGTCAACAGTCCCCCAAAGCAGCCAGAGCTCACGGATCTTCCCAGAGCAGCCCATTCAGCAGCCCTCCCCAAATCCCGAGCGCCTTTGCCAGCTCTGCCAGCTCTGAGGAGGACCTGCTGGCCAACTGGCAGCGTATGTTTGTGGACAAGGCACCCCCCACCTCAGAGCGAGTGCTGATGAACCGCACTGCTTTCAGCCGTGACACAGCCCCCGAGCTCCAGAAAAGGTTCAGCCGCTCCATGCAGGAGCTGGGTAGGGCAGCCTCGGCTTACTCAGATGGTGAGGAGTCCGCGCAGAGCTGCAGCTGGACCGTGAGCCGGGACTCGAGTGTGGACACAGACAGCACTGAGTCCAGAGCCCGCAGGAGCCATTTCTCCTCAGACTATGGTACAGATTTCTCCCAGGATGAAGCCCAGAAGCTGTTGCATGAAAGCGGTGGAGGCAGTGCTGAGCCTGAAAGCCTCTCACCAGAGAAGCACAAGGACTATGTGGACCTTGGCTTGCCTGAGAGCCCAGCTGAGGAAAGAGAAATACTGCTCCAGGGAAACAAGGAGAGCAACCAAGGAGGTGCCCAAGAGGAAAGTGGAGAAGGCAGGGTCAAGCCTCCCTTCAGTCGGATGCACCGCAGCCCCAAGAGGATGGGGGTCCACCACTTACATCGCAAGGACAGTCTGACGCAGGCCCAGGAGCAGGGCAACCTTCTCAGCTGAGACAGAGCAAGAAGCAGCCACATGCTGCAGAGCTGTGGGATGCCTCCATCAGTCCACCTGAGGGAGAAACCTCCCTTAGTACCCTCCTCCCAGAGGGAGTCTGCTCTGAAATTTTATATTTATTCTCTTCCTTTTGCTACCTGGAAGAGCTGAGGTTCCCCTTCCCTGGCACCTCAGACCCACAGTACTAGCACATGCAGTGTGCAAAAGCACACCCACTGTCCCGACATGCTCACAGCTCTCTCCACAGCCTCACACTGGTGCCTGTACCAGAGCTAGTTCTTGGTACCCCTCGTCCTGGTGCCTGTGCCTCTTTACACCCTCATCCTCCTTCCCCCTTCCCACTCAGGTACCTGAGGCCCTGGGTGCTCTTGTGCTGGTTGCCCACAGCTGCTCTGCTCTATTTTTTCTTGTGCCAACAGGGCAGACTGCCTGTGTGGTGGTGTCTGATTCCCCAGGAGCCCCAGGAGCCACAAGTGGGGCACAAGGACTCTCCCAGCGGATGGCTGTGTGCCGTGGGGATGTGCTGGGATTGCTGGTATCTCATTTTTCTGTTGGGTTTTCTTTTTCCCCAGCTGCCCATGGGGTTGTTCTCCAGAATCTGCCTCTGCGGATTTCCAGCATTGGGCTCAGCACCTGGTCCCCACAGAGGCAATGCATGGGTGCTGCCTGCTGAGGTGGTTTGGGGAGGCATTGCCTGCTGGGCCCTGGGGTTTGTGTTTGCGTGTCTCCTCCCTCACACCTCTTCCCCTGCTCTCTGTGCTGTTGTTTTGTTTGAACGGTGCTGATGCTTTGCTCTTGGGTGGGCTTCTTTCTTCTTTCCAAGCCTTTGGTTTTGGGGTGTATTGTTTTTTCGTTCTCCCCACCCCGCATAAACAGACACAGCCGTTGGCAGCCGGTCTGATGCCTGCGTTGAGGGTGTGTTGAGGAGGCTCAGCTATCAGAGCTGCGCTTCCCTCTGATCCTGGCCTCCAGCCTGCAGAAACCCTTCCAGGCTCAAGAACAAGGTCTTGCCCCAGGCAAGCAAGGCGTGAAGGATGGTACCGGCTTTTCTGGGCAGGGCTTGGTGCAGGGCCAGCAGGGATGTGAGGGCAGCATGCTGAGGAGCTGCTCCTTGTAGATGCACTACCTCATGGCTCAGCAGTAGCCCTCTGCCAGGGTCTCCTTGCATGCCCCCTTCTCTGGGGGGCTCCAGGCTGGCTCTGGTGCTTCTCTGGAGCCTTCCCTTCTGGATGGGGCTCTCTGTGTGTTTTTCCTAGCGTAGTGTGATATTGCGTGACTTTTCTTCTCAGTCTTGTGTGCTCAGTGTCTTCTTGAGGGGGAGGGAAGGGGAGAGGTCTGTAGATGTAGGTATTTTTTTGAGGGCTTACAGAGCCCAGGCCTCCTGTTTTAATTTTGTCCTGTGCTCTTGTCTTTCTGGTGTTTCTTGGCTCCCCTGGGAGTGCGAGGCAGAGAACAGCCCAGTTCCCTGCACCACACCCCCTTCAAACCCCACCATCTGCCCTCGATCTGCTATCTGGTTTTTGAGTTGGGTTTGTGTTGTGCTCCCACCCTACACAATGAGGGCTCTTCATTGGGCTGGAGGAGAGCACCCCTGTCTGTATGAGGGAGCTTCTGTTCATATGCTTACATCAAGATGTACAGCTGAGAGCTGCCTGGGGGCCCTGCTCCTTTCCCCAAACCCTGTCTCTACAAGGGGCTTGCAGCTTGCAGCTGGGGCCAGCCAGGGCTTCAGCTCGAGCCTGGAGGCTCCAGGGCCAGTGAAAGGGAGCTGCAGGCCTCTCTGGCAGTTATGTAGGTTGCTTTATGTACCCTGGCTAGAGCTGCTGCCTACACACTCACCTTGTTTCCTGCCACCCTCTGGTGGGGAGGTGGGACTCGGTATTTCACTGCAATATTTTGCTTGGTCCCTGTGCAGACAGGCTGGTGCCGAGAGCAGGCGCCTCCTCTGAGCCTGCAGAGTGTTCATCTCCCCTGTCCCAGTCGTGGTGGCAGGGTCCTTGTGTGTGCTGTCATCAGCTGCTCCAATGCTGCATTTCTTCTGTTCTGCAGCGTTGCTGAGAGTTTGCACCTGCAGCAGCTGCCAGATCCTGCCTCATGGATGTCACCTGGAGTTGGATGCTCACTGAGCGAGCTGCTCTGGCTCTGAGGCTGCTGGTGGCCTGCAGTGGGGGGGGGCATTGCCCCTCAGGGCTCAGCTCCATCTCCCCCGAATCCTGGCATGCTGGTCAGGGGACAAAAACCTCTCTTGCTGAGGCAGCTGGTGCTGATGGTGCTGGGCAGAGCCAGCCTCCCTCTGCTTTTGGTCAAGGTAGACTGAAAAGCAGAACAGTGGATGGGTGGCAAAAGAGTGCCCAGAGCCTCGCCAGACAGTTGTGCTTTGCAGCATTAGGCTGCTGGCAGAGGTTGAGAGAAAGCGGTGGCCTCAAGCAGCAGAGCCTTCTCCCCTTGGGCACGGTGCCCTCTGCATTCCTGCCCACCTCCAGCAGTATTGGCTCTGGGGCCTTGAGCTCATCCCACTTCCAGTGTCCCAACTCCAGACTGTTAATCTGTAACTAATGTGTTTTTTTCTGAGATTTTCAAACTGATGTATATTTTAAGACCAGAAATAAACTATTTTAAAAGTAGGTGGCAATGGCTGTAGTGTTCTTGATGCTGCTTAAAACCTGGACTGAGCATGTGAAGGAGCAGAGCTGCTCAGGGTACACTGTCCCAAATTTGCTGAACTGTGTGTGCCACCTGTTAGCTCTCAGAGAGAGAGTGATCCTGTGACCTCCAAGCAGCCTCAGTGTTACTGGTAAGATTCTGCCTACCTTGTTTCAAGTATTTTGCTAGCTGTCCTGGCTGTGTCTTGGCAGACTCTCCACCTGCTGATCTAGAGTAGGATGAGGTGTAGCTAATCTTTTTAATAGTTGTTGGTTTTCATAAAGTCCCAGCTCTTGGAATCAGCTGAGAGTATCAGTTCTTCACTTCAGAAACTGAGTTATGTGGAACCATGCAACATATCACCTTGCTGGAGTTCCTAAGGGGGTTATAATTCTAGAGACAGTATTTTCTGTGGGGAGGATTGAGGTTGATTGGACATACCCCAGACAGGAAGTTGTCCAAATATGAGACAGAGAGTTCCTGCAGGATGCTGTTATGAACACTTGGAAGTGCTTCCTTTTGTGTTGAATGGTGCTGCAGAGGTCAGAGGGCTCTGATGAATTTTCTTCCATCTCCCATGTTATGCTGTGCCTTTCTGACCTACATATATGCAAAGCGTAACACAGGAAGAGTTTCTTGTTTCTTTGTTCCCATAATTAATATTATTCCTTGTTCCCTTGAGTAGCAGCTGCGGCCACAATTTGATCTTCTAACCTAATCTGAGCCTTGAAACACGATCTTCCTTGTCTGCTCCAGCAAGGGACGCTTGGCCGAGCAGCGCAACCCGCAGTGCTGATGCAGGCTGAAGCCTTCACCAGAGGGTGCGCGGCTGGGGCCAAGCTCCCTCCAGAGCCAGACTAGCCCTGCCCGCTACCTCCTGGGCCGGGGGAGGGCCTGTGGGACAGAAAGCTGGGCTGTCGCCGAGCTCTCCCAGGGCCGGGCCTGTGGAGGAGCCTCGGCAGGGCGGGAGGGCCCGCGCGCAGCGGGGTGAGGGGCTGCCGCCCCCTGCCGGCGCTCCGGTCTTGCAGCGCCTGCCTGCGCCGCTCCCCGCCGCCCCTGCCGATACCTGCCCGCCCCTGCCGGTACCTACTGGCTCCTGCCGCCCCTGCCCGCACCTGCCGATACCTACCGGCTCCTGCCGGCCCTCGCCTCCCCGGAGTCGCACAGTGACGGAGACGGACGCTTCCACGAGTGGTGCCACCACGTCTGTGACCTTTATAAAACTCTCATCGCAACAGCAGTACAAGCGATAGAAAGGACATCTCTTATACACATCTGAATAAATACAGCCTGCGCCCTGCGGGCACAGCCGGGCGTGGGGGGGGCGGCGTGAGCTACACATGCGGCGACGGGACAATCACAAGCGGCCGACTGGGCGTGTGACAACACAGAGACGTGTGTAGAGATTTGCTCGGACCAGGCTCCGGCGCTTAGAGAGCTGAGTGAGGCGCCAACAGGAGGTGAAATGTGTGAGAAGTGGGCTGGGGAGCCCAGCAGAGGCGGGGGGCCGGCGGGCACACGCTGCCCCCGCGGGCACGGTGCTCTTCTTGGCAGAAGCAGGCAGGGTAGCCCAGCTACATCTCTGTTTCTGCTAAGAGGCTGTCACCGAGACCTGACGTCATCAGGACCATCTGGGAGCTGGAATCTGTGTCGAGAGAGGGAGAAAACGATGAGCCGTTCGGGCTGCCAGAGAGTACAGGGCTGTACTCCAGATCCAGAGGTGAGGATGAGGAATTAGAGCACCGCAGGGTGGGAGGAGAACTGCTGAGAGAAGTGTGAGATTAAGTAGTCTGGCCTTGCAGCAGAATAGAATCGATGCTTGGAGAGGGGGAGAAAGCAGAGACAGCAGCAAGAGCCCAGAGGAACATCAGCTCTGAACCCTCCCCACATACAGGGGATGCTGCTTGTGCTGGCCCAGCCGTGCCCTTACCCAGCCCTGCACTCACTGAGTGCTTTTTTGGCTAGAGAGACAGTGTCCAGGTGGGATGGGCTGTCAGGCTGCAAGCCAACCAAGCCCACATAAGGTGGTGGTGCTACCTTCCCAAGAGCAGGGAACACAGCAGGCACTCAGCCATGTTACGGCAGCAGAGGCCTAGAAATACTGACTTTCTGCATGGCATGAATGGAGGGTTTGTGCAGCCCTTCCCTGCCTGCCTCGAGGAGGTGAAGGCAGCTTGCTGGCTCTCTGATGGCACAGAGCACCAGCCAAGAACACTGTGACCCTCCCCACACTGAGTGAATCAGATGCAAGGAGGATGGGCATGCATAGCAAGTAAGAAACTCAGTAGGATACCAGTCTCCCAACCAGAAGCCTTTTTAAACAGAAAAAAATCTGTTTTTTTCTGGATAGGAATGAGAAGATCTTTAGTGGCAGTCCTACACGTTCACTGCTGCATGGGATCTCTGTTTTGGGGATCAATTTTTGGAAACTGGATGCAAAACTTGGACTGGATGCAAAACTGTCACTAAATTATTTTTATGGCTTTAACAAATGAGGATCCAGATGTTTTCAGGTTGATGGAGTGGTTGTGCTTGTTTCCTGCTAGTGTGACATGAGAATTGTGAGGGGGAAGGACAACTGAAGGTAAAAAATAACCCCTCAAAACAGCTGGATCACAAGGTAGGAATGTCAATATACAATATCATATATACAAACTATACCAAACAGGCTACTGCTATCTCCATAATATACCTTTTTTCCATTACAAGGAAAAGACAGGCTGTGGCACCTGGCTAACTCTTCACACGTATGGGATGCAGAGATAGGAATAGCTGATGCTGTGCGGATTGCAGGGAGGTTCTGGAAGCAGTGAGGAATGACACAAGTTTTGGCTAGGCTATCTGGCAAAGGCCCCTGAGATCTTTAATGCTCCTGCCCTTGAGTTTTAAGACTTTGCATAAAGATTTCGTTCCTGCAGCATCAGGAAAAATGCCTCAGAGGTACCGTTTCCACTCTTTCCAGCAGCTGCATTGTCCTTGGAGGCTGCCTTTCCACAAGAGGCTCAGCCCAACGCTGTTTAACATGAAGGCCACGCCTGGAGGTTGTATGTATTCCAGTTCATGGGGGGAAAGGACAGATCCCATTCACCAACCTCACCACAAGAGACCAGTGGCACTGGAAACACCCCAGACACTCAAACTCCTGCCTGTCAGCTCCTGCCCACAGCCCAGCTCCCCGAGCTCTTACTGTTTTGGCAGATCCAGGGGTTCTTCTCCCTGGCTGTGACTTCATGAGCCTCCGTCTCCTCCTCTTCCTCACCCTCTGAGAGAAGGTCAGAGATCTGCTGCTGCAGCTCGGGACTAATGTTGTTCTCCGCCAGGATGAGTGTCCGTAGGGCTGTGGGGTAGTTCTCTACCATGTCCAGCAAGGTCTGGGCGGAGAGTGAGATAAACAGGCTGAAGCAGCACAAACAGCAGCCAGGCTGAGCAGAAAAAGCATCAATGCTTTGTCTCCCTGCAAACTCCAGCCAGAGGAAAGTAAGAACACCCCTGGGTGCAGGGAGGGAAGGGGGCGCATGTGGACTCATGGGGGGGTGGAGGCAGGTGTAGATCCTAGGGCCTCTACAGACATCCCTGTCCTGTGCCACTGAGATGTCAGTGATGCTGTAGAGAAACTGTGGGCTCTCATACCTGGGCTGACTGATTGGTAAGTCCTGTTCCCTCCAAGTCCAGAACTTCGAGGGTTCGACTGGAGGCCACAGCAACAGCGAGCATCCCTGCCACCTGGTCACCTGTGGGAGAAGCAAACTAGGGCCATCAGCAGTGCCTGCCTTTCCTCATGTAATACCACATGCCCTCATGGAAACTTCCTCTATCTGCCATCAGACAACCTCCAAACCTGTTCCTCAGGGAGAAAAAAGCTGTTAACTAAAAAAAGAGACAAGGAAAGGTGCACCATTTTGTGGTTATGGGAGCAGTCATTGATTGTCAGGAGGAACACGAAGGAACACAGTGAAACTGGTTTTGTTCAGAAAGGAATCATATCTTTCCAAATCTCCTTCCTACACAAGGATGCAAGGGCCTTTAACAGTCCCTGTAAGGCATCACAGCCACAGAATAGGAGCTAAATACTTCAGTATAGGGGAGGGCTGGAGCCAGCCAGAGGGCTCTGCACCAGCTGAAGGAGTGCCTCCCTGGAAAGGGGGTAAACTTTTGGACACAGCATTAAAGATTGATGGTAGGGAAGAGACAGGACTCCAGTGTGCTCTCCTGACATTCTCTGCTGAGTGCCAAGATGCCATACAACTGTGACACCTTCTCTTGAAGCAAAACCCAGAGTGCTGTCAGGTAACACCCTGGAGCCTTTCCTGCCCAAGAGGAGGTACCTGGTCAGACAGAGGGCCTGGAGGGAGGCTCTGTTTGCAGATAGGGTGAGGAGGGGAGTACCCTGCTGATGCTCAGGGAGGCATGGCCTGATCTCCTCCTCACCACCTTGCAGCAGAGCTGGAGAGAGTTTGTTTCTATGGCAACGAGTGCCAGGCTCTCCTCCTCCTCCTCCCTTCTCCTCCAGGAAGATGAAGGGGGGAGCGTGGGGACATACTGCATCTGCCAAGCCAGCTTCCGCACCCTGTTCTTCAGGAACAAGGGAGACATGGAGGGTCAAACATGACAACAAAGGCAATGGAGTAGGCAAGGCACAACCTCCTTTCTGGAGGGTATGTGCCCTCCCTGCAGGGTATGTGGCCACCTCATACAACCAGAGCAGTGAGGGTGGCTTTCCCTACAGGTGAAGGTGCCCGGCAGGGTGAACTTGCTGCTGGGGATCAGAAGGCAAGGAACTGCCCCATCCTACTGTTGATGCTCTACTGCATTTCTAGAGCTTGGTCCCCAGCCAACCACTGGTGCCAGTTGCACAAACACTGAGAGGCAGGAGTGCAGCATCCCCTGCTCCTTCTTCCTGGCCCCCAGCTTACCTAGAGGGTTGTAGTCCAGGTTCAGCACGCGGAGCTGTGAGCTGTGAGCCACTGCAATGGCCAGGCGT